GGATATTTGAAAATACTCATTCTTCATGACCAATTCTAAAGGCCACCAACTTCTCTGGCAGAAGTTCAAGGCACTCACAGTATAAAGCCCTAATCTATTTTAAAGGATGAATCTGGGTACAAACATACACATTCATCCTTTACCAGAATTTTTTTAGTTCCACCAAAGTGAAGGAATGCATTGAAGGCTAATAGCAAATTCCAATTGTATTAAATCATTGCCCAGTTCTGTTGACAGCAGATACGCACTGCATACCTCAATTCTCCTGCTCATTTTCCATCTACAAATGCTTACAAAGAGATAAATGGAGAACAAAGACCCAAGCCAGGACCTCTGCTCTGCCCTCTAGGACTGTAGAACCCTATAGAACCAGATTAAAATCAAAGGGTGTTGATTTTATGGACTCCCTGACATATAAGGCATAGAGAACTTTAGAAGGAAACTCCAAGCTAATAGAAAAACTTTTCATGCTTCCATGAATGGTATATGGATTATGTTTAAGAGAACAATTTAGGAAAGAGTTGAGTAACTCCTAGTCTTTCTGGAGAAGGCTAAAGAAAATAAGGTCTTTGAACTATAGAAATGATATGATCATAGAGTAAAGAACTACTAATCACTGCATAATCCCTAAATCTGCATCTCTACTATCGGCCTAAAATGAATAACCTGTATCCTATATATACACTGTTTTTTTATCAATCCAGAAGAGCCTATCTGAGATGATGCTAGAAACAAACAAAACAAAGAAGAGATGGTTGGGGGAAATCTAAAACTCTTCATACACCCATGGGTTGACATAAGTTAACAGCTTCTCAGACATTGTGTTCACAAGTACAGTCATAGAGTTGGGGGCAAGTTTCACTACTGTCCTCTTAAGAAGATCTCAAGGCCATTTTGTTAATTCCTTCCTATAAGCAGAGATGAAGAAGGTCTTTCCCATTCACACTACCATTTTTACTCTCCCATATTACAGGCTCCACCCTCTTTTAGGATGCCTTTTATGCCTGCCTTGTCAAAGCAAGTATTGGAACACATAGGACACTTAGGGTGGGCTCAATACAGCCTCAAGCACAGGAGGGCATCACTCCTGGTGTACACAGAGGGTTCTGAGACTCCAGTCTTTTCTGAATTTGAGATAAAACTGAGGATGACTGAGAAGATCTGACTGCTATGGGAGCAGAAATAGCCTCTGGGACTGGGAGAATACTGGTGAGTCCTAAATCAAGGCATTGAGATATTCACCTGACACCAACTTCACCCACCTGACAGCATGGGACCCTGGGGAACATGTTACTCACACCACCAGGCAAAGCCTTGCATATGGGAAGGGCTATCCTGGAGGCATAGGTACAAATCAGACTCCAGTTCTTATTACATTGAGATTAGAGGAAGAGGGTAGGACTCTTCTAGGATCCTAAAGGAAAATAAAAGCACTTTGTGGGGACAGTAAAAATGTACTTGGGAGAGGAATTCAAATATATTAACAATTGGATAGCCACTTGGCATGAATGCAAATTGTCACCTACCCTGTGGAGAAAAAATCTCAGACTGTCTCTCTTTACCCCCTACTCCAGTAGAGGCACCAGGGATTTTCGGTCCACGGAACCTGCACCTCCTCCAGATGTCCCAGGCCTCAAGTCTTGCTTCATGAGGTTTGGCGATGTTCTGACCATTAACAAGGGGTTTCTCCACAAGGGAATATGGCTGGGCTGACTCTCTAATATGGGGTTGTGATGGTGACAAGATCAACAAGGGAAGGGCAAAAAGGTGTTGATGGGATTAGAAGGTGTACAGATACACCAAGAAAGTTCTTCCTAATGTGGTTGAGAAAAGGGAATGCTGCACAGAGGGAGGAGGGGGTGAGTTGGAGGTAGACGAGGCCAGGTGCAGGGCAATGCAAGGAGGAGGACTTCAGACAGGCAATGGCAGTGGGAATGGAGAACACCTTTTAGATGCAGCAGCTTGGGGGTGGGAGACACTAAAGATGGTGAAGAAGGGAGAGGAGTAGATGGAGGGTGACTAAGGATAAAAGGATGACTTTTAAGATTTAGCTTGGGTGTCAATAGATTGCAATGTCATGTTCTAAAATAAGAAACAACATTTTAAGAAGGAAAATAATTTGGAATTCTGGAGACAAAGCCAGATTGCATTGGAAAGAAGGAAGAATGTAATTTAAGGAACTGGAGGTTTAAACTACAAAAGTGAGGACACAAAGGGGAGGTGAGAAGTATAACATACTACATACTACATGCTACACACCACACACTACACACTACATACAGAGAAACTATTCAGGTAGTCTTCAATCTAGTGCCCTGTTCCAGCATCTGACAGTTGAAGAGGCACATGAAAGATCCAGGAGATCCTTCATTAATCTCCCCAATTATGGCCCAACTGTCTCTTCTAATTAATGAAAACAAGTTACCCCTACACCCTAACACATGCACACACACACATTCACACGCGCACACACACACTTCAGACTCAATAGATAATTTCTGCTGCAATTTTTCTTGTTCTACTTCCAGCAGAAAAGAGAAAGAACTGATCACCATTCTCTGTAGAATTTCCCTCCTTGGAAATTAAAGTTAATTAACATTTACTGAACCTTTCCTGGACACATGGCACAATGCCAAATTCCTAAAGGAGAATGAGAATGAATGTGTAGGTGTGAGACTAAAAACACATCAGAGGAGAAGAAGCAAGCCAGTTGAACAGGTTAGAGCCAAGTATCGCACTGTTCTTTGCATGACTGCAGGACTCTGGCCCATCCATAAACAAACACGCATAGTAGAAAGCATCGGAATGCGTACATGCATGGTTTTAAGTTTCTCAAAATCAATTCAAAAGCTCAAATACTGAGCCATCTCTAATCATCTCCTTGCAAGTAATAAAAGAACATGAGTGTAATGTTTGAATACCTTTCCCCACTAACAGCTACAGACCCCTGTCCAGTCCTTTATAGGTCACAGGACTTGGAGATACTACATCTGCAGGTTCACCTAAACTACTACACGTATAAGCCCTTATCCCTCATGTTCATTGGCTTCCCTTTGCTAATGACACCAGTTCTTAACCCAGACTGAGAGATGGGGCACTTAAAAGTGCAGGTGCCTGGATTGCCCACCCTACAGACTTTGTATCTGTGGAAGTTGGGCCCAATTAGATATCTTTGTTAATCTCCCAAGACGATTCTAATGGGCACCTCCATGGGATATCCTATATCTTTAGGCTTATAAATCAAACTTGATGCTTACTGACTCTTCCAAACCTACCCCTAACCATTCCCTACAAACACTAACCACTGAAGCAATGACCTGAGGGTTCCTACTTCTCCCACTGTTCACACATTTACCTGGGACACACTCTTTTATTCCCCACTCCCCTTTCCACAGAGCACATTTCCTTCAAGTTCCAGTTGAAGCCAAGCAGAAAGTATACCTGTTTCTAAACATGTATATCCAGGTGCCAGGCTAGCTCAGCATCTCAGTTTGCCTGTGAAGAAAGTTGTCACCGGAATCACTGTTCAAAGAGATCGTTACGATGGGGAGAGACACATAGCTCTTCAGTCCATCACTGTCTAGGTTCGGGTGTGGGATTACATTCACTAGGCACATTATATACAATCCAAAGCCCTCCAGTATGTAGTTAGTCCTCAAATTTAAGCTTTTCTCTCATAGCTTTAAGCGTTACACTGACTTACAGGTCCTGCACTCAAAGTCATTCCCACTGAAAGCATGTGTAAGACCCTTCAAAGTGAATACCTCTTTATATTGCAGCAATTAGTATACAACCCAGAGACAGTGTCAGTCCCTGGAGCTTGGATGAGACGAAGTGCCATTGGATGAATTGGGCTAGAGGAACCGGGGAAAGCCTCAGAAAGTGTCTGCTTTCCTGACGTTCTCACCAAATACTTAGATCAGAAAAGTTTTTTCTTTATTTTGGACTTAAAATAAAAAATGAAAACAAGTTTGTACTTTTATCTGCTCTCTTATCTGAGAAGCATGCCCAATAGTCACAACTGGCTGGTTTCCATGAACCCTCCTTCCTAAAGTGTTAGGACCCCAGCAGCCTGCTCTCTGAGGGGAGACTACTCCCACTGCCTTCTACCAACTACCTGTCCCAATATAATGAACGGCATCTAAGCCAGGATTCTGCCCTAGACTGTGAGACTCAGGATGACCTGGGCCTAGATAGCTGAGAAACAAAGTCAGGTCCTAAGGCAATCATGTCCAGCTCAGCAGCACTCCGAGTCTCTATTGATTCTGGAAAACAAACAAACAAACAAACAGACAAAGCACCTGTTGGAGCCAGAATTTGGGGCAGGGAGATCTCTATGTGGAAGGTGGGCGTGGGGCTTACAAACATGGCTGCGATAGGGGTGAGAGGCCCTCGCTCTTCCTCTAAGTTTCAAAAACCAGGCTGGGGAAAGTTAAAACCACTTCAGTAACAGAAAGAGAAACAGAAACTCTCTTCTAGGATTTCTGTTTCCAATGCCCTTTACTCCTGAAATGAATGTAACACTGTGTGTCAATTATACTCATCATTAAATTAAATAGGTACAATCAAAAGACATTAGCAAAAAAGCTAAAAAAAAAAAAAAAAAAGAAAAGAAAAAGAAAAAGAAAAAAAAAGAAAAGAGAATCTCCAGAATGGATTTTATCGAAATAAGAATCGGTATTTTCTCTTCTTAAAGAAAATTAAATAATCACATGAACACTCTATCGCATTCTTCTAGGTCACAGAAGTCATTTGTATGAGTACAGAACAGACTGTTTATCAGTGATTTGAGTTATATTTTTAGTTCTCATTGTTAACAATCTAAAGAAGTTAACAATGGAAAGAAGCACTATTTGTTGTCAGTTTGTGAAACATTTTAGACAGTAAATGTAAGATTTAGAATATTTTGCTGTGTATTTAAGGTTTAAAACTGTATAAAACAATAACATATGTATGATGGAGAATGTTTTGTAACATAGGAAATGTCATTAAACCATAAAAGTACAGAAAGGAAAAAGGGAGTTTCTGGTGTGAAATCCTTCCTGGAGATTGCATCTCTCCCTGAGATAGCCAAGAACCTGAACACCTGTAGACTGAGTTTGTCTTTATTTCATGGCAGGAAAATAGAGTCATTTTCTTAAGTTCTCTCTCCATAACACACACATTAGTCCACATGCCATGATTTTCCTGAGGACTTTGGTTATGCAAGGTGACATCACGCCTTCTCAGAGAGCAGACTTGACCTGGTTCTCCCAGTGATTTAAAGAACTTGCTTTGGGGAATGTGAGGAGAGACAAGCAGGAATCAGAAGCTATAATCTGAAATCCCAAAAGGCCAATTAAAATGCCCTGCAGGAAATTTGAAAGGAAACCACTGTAAACGGATAAAACTTTACTAAGTTTCAGACCTTCTGTGCTCCTGTGCATGGGCTCTCTCTCTCTCTCTCATCTTTGCCCTTTTTCTTTCTCTCATATCCATGTGAGTGCTCACATGTGCACGTGCAGACACACACACACACACACACACACACACACTGAAATAGATTCTTTTCACTCTCATTTCCCAGATCATGAAACTAAAGCCCGACAGGTAATGTCAAGGTTACAGCTGATAATTGGTCAAGGGCAGTCATCAACCTAGCCATGTGCACATCTGTGCTTTTCTTACTTGTAGAACTGCTCGTACTGACGGTTGCTTTCCTCTTTATTAAACTGCTCGCTGGCTCCCATGCCTAAGCCAGGATGGAGGTTAAAAGAAAAGGCTCTAGGGCCAGGATGTCTGAGTGAATTGCCCGCCACTTTCTAGCCGTGCAATCTTGGGCAAGGTCAGTTTCCTTATCTGTAAAATGGAAGTGATAATAGGTGGTGTTTGTCTCTTAAGTCATTAAAAAGATTAAAGAACTTAATACAGATAAAACATTGAGAAACAGTATCTATCACTAGAGGCAAGACATAAACTTGTTCTGGGTTACACCACTGTGATTTGGGAGTTGTCTGTGTCTGCAGCATGTCTAGCTTGTCATTCAAATACAGTTGAATAAATATATGTTAAATTAATTTTGATTGAATCATTATGCATAAAAGTTATGTGGCAGGAACAATTGCTGAAGGGGACTATGGTTTTTTGCTTCTATTATGTTCTTAAATTCAACAAAGTCTTCTGTAAAGGATTATTTTCCATTGTATTCTAAAGATCAGGTTTCTTATGATGAATAACATTATCTATCAATAAACTTATTACTTTTATCATCAAGGTATCAGCACACCATAGAGCACATAATCAGCTCAAGAAATATTTTTTCTCTTATTTCACTCAGGGATTTCATCAATTGATGCTAATTGAGCCCATTAAAAAAAAAAAGCCTATAGGACACACAGATCTTTTATTTTAAATCTTCTAAAATCTGCTATGCTTCTAGATGAAAGACAATAGAGATATCTGAAAGTAAATAAATAATAAATTCCCAAGAAGTCCATTTTCAATAAATGATGAGAATCCGAAAAGTAAGAAAATCTGTCTTGGGTATTCCCATCTGAACTGACAACCTCATTATAATTTCTATGAATGTGCCTCACTTATAAATTCCACCATCCTCAACTAGGGGAGAGACTGCCAGCCTTGACTCTGGGTTTCTATTGTTTCCTGGTTGAATTCAGGGAGTTAAAAGCCCAACACTTACTTTAGCGTGCAGTTGGCTCTTGTAGATTTATTTCCCTCAGCTCTTTGAAGGAGTGCAAGCCCAAATGAGAAATTCATCAGATGCTAGTCTGGATGAAAAGAGGGGTCCATTGCTCTGTCTGCAAAAGGGGATGTGACACCAGTCTACCATTGTGTCTTGTTATAAACCAGAGTAAGCCTCTGTAAAGATATGATAAAATTAACTTTTAAAAATGCCTATCAGTTGCCCACCCATCCATATCACATAAATACATAATTAACTTTCTAAACATGGATATTTTTGGCATTTAAAAATGTGTATTAATTACTTGATATTTTGCCCATTCCAGGCTCTTTATGTAAATATTGAATTGAGAGACTTCTTAAAATGCACAGAATTTACTTGGTCATCTTCAACAGTAGTTGACTAAATACATAATTAGAGTATTTTTAAAACAGGTATCATAGACTCAGTAATCTTTAGTGAACTTTTGCATCATTCTAACCTAAGGTGTCAATACTTAATTAGAATTTGAAATTCATGGATCATTGACCAAAGCACCGTAATTGGTTTGGGCATATGCACTATGGCAGATCACCAGTGAGCCAACTCCTTAAAACAACCACTCAAAAATGCTGTGTTCAAGGTGTGTCGATTTGCCCATTTGGAATACTTCTCACAGAGAATTAGGCATTTTAACATCTTTAGAAAAGGAATTTTAATTTATCCCCAGTTGATATGGGAAAGCTAATTTTTACAAATGAATATCAACTAATTAAAGTAAAAGAAATGATAGAAATTCTAAAAATCACCATTTTGCAATCTAATCCCCACCCTTGAAAGCATTGATTCAGACAAGGAACATCAGTGGGAGCCAAAACTGTTAGATAAAATGGAAAGGCTAGTTCCAAGGTGCCCTGAGTCATCCCATTGATTGCTTGTTAATTGCAAAGAAAAAAAATAAAAGAAGAAAACCATTCAATGGAGGGATCTGACCATCTTATTTAGCATCACTATTGGTGGATCTCTTGAAGATGTTCTGAGATGCAATATGCCATGCCCAGCCACACCTATGAGATCTTCTTGTTAATACTTTTTAATTTAGTTCTCATCAAGCATTTAGACCTAACCTGCAGTTTTCAGGAACTAGAAAAACAACATAAATCACTCCAACAGGAATCAGTCAAACTAATCCAGGACAGAGCATAGTCCAAGGCAATGCCTAGTCACCAGAAAAATCTATGTAGGAACTTTAAAAAATGAGGGACTATTACAGATGAAAAGATACTAACAACAAAACAAAACAAAACAAAACACAATAACCTCAAGAGATGTGTGAACTTTGGACCCTCACTTGGTAAAATTATAGAAGACACATTTTGGGGACAACTGGGGAAATTTAAATCTGGATTGGCTATTAGATTACTTTATGAAATTATTGCTTCTTAAGTTATAATGATCTTCTAGATATGGAGGCAAAATGTCTTATACTTAGGAAATATTTGCTTAAGTATCTCTTCACAATGAATACAACTTAAATCCTGCTGCACGCAGACACAGAAAGGTATGAAGCAAATACAGTAAAATGTTAACAGTTATACCTAAGTGGTGGATATACACATGTTCATTAAATAATATTTTCAATTTTCCCATGTTTGTAAATATATATCCACACATATGTAGTGAAATATTTATATATTCACATGTATATAGTGAAATATGTATAGATATATGTATAGACATATAGAGATAGATAGATACTAGATAGATATAAAATCAGGGAGAAAAAGAATTCTTGCCTCCATTTTCACATTATATTTCTTGCTTTGTCAGTAGTTGTTATAAAAGTATGTATGTGTTTCATAAGACTATTTCCCTAGATATGTGTATATTTAATGGAGTATGACACACAGCCCTTATTTATTTATGACTTGTGCTCATTTGGATCTTATTGAATCAGAGCTTATTTATATTACTTGGTCGTTCCAGACATGCGTTTCTTTTTGCACCACTCTAAGATTCAATTCATTCATTCTAGCTGTCTATGTTAATTGAGCATCTACTAGATGCCAGGCAAAATACTAGTTCCCAAAAAATCATGGTAAGCAAACACAAATGTTGATAAATGTCATAAATCTTACAGTCTAATAGAGACGAAAACCCTTCATCAAAATACAGTATGGATATATAGTAACAAAATGTATTATACATGTGTTATCAAAATAAAGCTCAGGGAACTATGGAATGAAAACAGAAGACTCTGGTTTAGTATAGGGAATGCTTACTGAAAAGTGAAGGGGAATAGGCACTTACCTAGAGGAAAAAAGTGAGCAGGGAAATAAAGTCTCCAAGGTGGAAGGGAGCATGGCTAGTTCCATGAACAGAAAGGCCAATGTGGTTGCAACAGAAACAACAGAGGACATGAGGGGGCTGATTTGGCTGAGGGGTAAAGAGAAGTCCAATCACACAATGCCATTAGGCCATATGGAGGATACTGAGCTCTATCTAAAGAGAATTGGATAATTTTAAGGGTGAAAGTGACAAAATCTGATTGGCATTTAAAAAGATCTTTCAGGCTGGAGAGCCTGGGTGTCTCATTTAGTTGAGCATCTGACTCTTTGTTTCAGCTCAAGTCATGGTCTCAGGGTTGTAAGATCAAGCCCAGTGTCTGGCTACACTCTGGGTATGCAGCCTGCTTAAGATTTTCTCTCCCTCGGGGTGCCTGGGTGGCTCAGTGGGTTAAAGCCTCTGCCTTCGGCTCGGGTCGTGATCCCAGAGTCCTGGGATCGAGCCCCACATCGGGCTCTCTGCTCAGCGGGGAGCCTGCTTCCCCCTCTCTCTCCACCTGCCTCTCTGCCTACTTGTGATCTCTGTCAAATAAATAAATAAAATCTTTAAAAAAAAAAAAGATTTTCTCTCCCTCTCCACCCCTTCTTGCTCCCTCCTTCTCTTAACAAAAAATAAAAATAAAAAAGTTCCTTCAGGCTACAATGCTATAATATGGTGGATGGACTGAAGGGGACCATGAGTAGAAGCTGGGAGGGAAATTTGGAGGTGATTATGAAAATCCAGGGAAGAGAAAACAGTAGTTTCAATCAGGGTAGTGATGGTAGAGATGGAGAGAAGCAAATACATTTTTAAAATCCTTAGGAAGTAAAACTGAGAGACTCTGTGGTTGATCAGGTAAGAGTAGAGGATGAAAGAGGCATCAAGGATGCTTTTAGGATTCTGCATCGAGCTGGTGAGCACAGAGCACTGAAGGGGAAACATGTTCATTTAGAGGGACTCCTAGGTTAAGTTCAGATGTGCTACATTTGAGGGTATCTTTAAGCCAAAAGATTCTTCAGGCAAAACCCAATGATTTATTATTTAATTTTAGACATTCTTAATATAGTTATAGAACACAGAGAATTATTTTGTAATAAAATAAGATTTTGCATTTCCAAATGAGGTTTCACCTCGAGGGACAATGCGTTATGCCAACAATCCTACCATTACTCAGAATTCACCTAGGATTCCTCCTTGTAGATCAACTCAGAGAGCCAGTGGATAACTTCTCTACTGTCAGCCATGGATGAAAAATGTGCTTTCTAGTCCTCCCCAAACTCTTCTGTGCATCTCACCAGCAAGGACCACTTTAAGCCTTGCTTTGTCTTTATACCTCGCTATATCTCATGACTGAGCTTCCTGAGTTTGTTCACTTCTGAACTGGGGGGGAGGATGCATATATCAGGCCCTTGATAAAGAGTTAGAATTAAATGTAGAAAACTGATCTCATTATTTCACCATCAGACCATAATTTTATCCAGTGTGGTCCAGCGCAATCATCCAACTTGTTTCCCAAAGCAGGCTCTGACCAATTTGCATCAGTCTTCCGAAATAACAAATCAACTCACAAAAGACCAGAAGAAGAGGAAGAAGAAGAAGGGGGAAGGGGACAAAGGAAGGGAAGGGAAGGGCCAAAAGGAGAAGGATCCATGGGTGATAAAAGTGTCCCAGGCTCTGAAAGTATTTTTCAGTATGTTCCATAAGAGCCACTCAGATAATTACAGAACCTGTGACTATTCTGAAAAGTCCATTTGAACACCCAAACTTTGACACACAAAAGAACAGTCTACACACACACTTCCCACAAAATATTAAAAATGAAACCTAAGAGTCAAATTAAATAGTCTAGCCCATATGACACCACAGTGAGAATTCACTAGAAAACCTAGACCAGCCTTTCAAACTTTACAGTGCATCAGACACACTTTGGGTATTTGTTTAAAGTGTTGATTCTTAAAGGCTGTTGAGTCAGAAACTGCATATATTCTCAGGTCTGTGTAGCTGAATGTATTTCATTCAACTTCATTCATTCATTCACTAGATAGAAATTTCTCAATCCTTGTACTGTCTGTGCTCTGGTCCTGGCTCAGTCTTCTCATATCTGTTAACCTTGGGAAAGTCACTTAACTTCTCGGTCCTCAAGATCTTCCGTAAAGGATGGAAGCAGATTTCTAAATACCTTCTTGTTTTAGAATGCTTCATGCCAAACTTTGCTGCTTTTGCTCTGAGTGACCCAGGACTCTACAATTACTCTTAGTCCATGTACACAGTCTCTGAGCCCCACAATTGTTCTCTGATTGGCTGGACAACCTGAGCTCTGACCTCGTGTTCATCCTCATAATTAAGACAACTGTAACATGACTGGCCTGGTCTGATTTGCAGCCTCTCACTTTGTTTCCCAGACCACCAAACTTGGTGATGATTCCAGAGTGAAGGCTCGTGTAGAGCTGGGATCATGTACCCCAGGGAGGCCTCCGAGAGTAGGAGGGGATAGATTAGCAGACAGGAGAAAGGGAACTCCAAGCAAGGAGAACAGCATGAGCAAAAGCAAGAGAATGAGAATGGACAAGGAATGCCCAGGGGTACTCTGTTATGATCGGAGTGTTTGTATCAAAAAATAGTTGGATACAAGAGCAGTATTCTAGAACTCAGGTGAATAATTAGGTTTGTTTATATCCCAATATCAAAGCAGAGACAAAGAGAAGTCTTAATGAAGAGCTAAGTGTGAAACAATACTGTAATCGTGCACTGGAGTGAGGTTCTCTTATCAAATAGGACAGTGACAATTAAACTCACACTTTGTATATGCCATTTAACATGCATCTTATACATTAGCAAACAAACACCTACAAACGAACATAGGTAACCAAATGGGGAAGAGACTGCATGTGCTTCCAGAGAGCGCACTCCTTCAGAAGTGGGTAGAGAATTAGATTGTGCACGCAGGAGACATTTGGTTGGGACAGGGCTTTGCTGCCAACTCAGCCTCTGCCATGTCATGAGTCACAGAACTGGCAGGCTCTGAGTACACATGCAGTCTTAAGACCCTCTATGCTTGCCAGTTCTACTGAGTCTATGGTACCCAACCAAGGCCCACTTCTTCAAAGAGGGTTATTTTGAGTGGAATTTCTCCTTTGGAGGAAAAAAAAAAAAAAGACATACAAAACTTCCTTCATAGTAGATCGATAAAATGTTCCCGAAATTCAAACTGAGAAAACTGTCTACCTCATCGGTGGCTGGGATTTTCCTTTATCTAAGATCATTTAGACTGAAGGGAGAACACTGATGGCCAAGTCTCCCAGGACAGGCTGCTGGCAGCGCTTTCTCTGAGAAAAGCAGCAGATGGCCTCTGGAGAGCACAAGGAGTCAGCCAAGATTTCCCTGGAGAATCACTGAATGGTTACTTTAGGCACACAACCCTCTAGGTCCTAACCAAGTCCAACCTTCATTTAGAGTTTTAAAACCTAGGGTATGTGAGAGTCCTCCACCACCGAACACGATGGTCCCACCCACACGAGAGGAACTACTTCTCCCCAAAGTCAGCCTGGTTCATGTGTGACGTCGCAATGGCTTTCATCTTCTAGTGCAAATATCCAGTGGCTTCGTGGATAGTTTTCGAGGCCTCAGTTCTTACTTAATCGGCCCTTGCCATGTTAAGTTGGCTCATTGCTTTATGCACTATATTTGCTAGCTTGAACTAAAGGCCACAAGTGTGATTAAACCGGATAAATTTTTTTGGTGGCAGTTTTGTATTTCTGGAGGTCACCAAAAAAAAAAAAAAAAAAAAAAAAATGGAGTGTTTTATCTTTATCTAGTAGAGCCTGGAACTAGGCTAACTCCTATTTTAATTTTGAGTCAATTTACAAACATTCATTGGATAATTATTCCTCTAGGGAACCTACCTTCTTGGGATGAAGCAAAAGCAAACCAACACAGAACACGGCAAAAAACCCGATGATAATAATAATAATAATAATAATAATAAAGTGTGGTCATACTTTTCTTTTAAGAAGTCATCAATAAAGGGTCCTAGATATCTGAGAAGTGATGGCCCTCCAAATGACACCAAGATGTTAACTGAGGAGGAAGGATGTGTTCTCGAGGAATATGAAATACACATGAAATAATGTACTAGGAAATGACACAAAGTATAGTTGGACAGATTGGTTCTAATGCCTTGGAATAGACAGCGTACTGTGCTACAAAGTGTCTGCTAGGGTTTATGTGCTTCATTTTGGGATTTTGAGTTTTAGGGCAGTTGACTACCTCTTCAGAGAAAGCCCGCCACATCCAATCTGCTAAGGAATTTGGATACCTGTTGGATAGGTCGGATACCAAGAAGAAATAATTTGTCCATCCCTCAACACAGGAACTGCTATTCTTCTTAGCTGAGCATTTTGGGCTTAGTGTAATGCCGTGATGCTCCAATCTGGGCTGTCAGATCCTTCATTTTGGAAAGCTGCAGACGTACTGTTCTTTGCTTGATAAGGATGAATACACTTTGCATTTTAAATTTTTATTTTCTTTATTGCTCTTCTACTTTTAAAAACATCTTCATACTGAAAGCAAAGAGATCATGTAACAGGGACAGGATGCAAAGCAGGGCAAGGACAGGCTATCTCCTGGCTTGCACCTGTCTCTATGCCTTGATCATAATGCTCGGTCTGCCCACTTTGCCCAAGAGCTCATCTCTAGATGCCCAAATTCTCTTCATCATTCAAAACTTTTGTCAGATGCCACTTCTAGGAGGCCCTTCCAAATCTCTGTCCTGAGCGATTATGATCTCTCCCTTGAACTTTCACTGATTCTCTCATAGCATTTAGCACTTTTTCCCATATATAAGTATTTACATATATTGGCTCCTATACTATATAACCAGGCATATCTGAAGCAATTTAATATACTCGGCTGCATCCAAAATTGATTACAGTTTCTTATTAGCAGTCCACATTCGGTAAATACTTATTGGAAATATTTACTAGATAAATAAATAACTGGTCAGGGCAAGCAGATGCTCCCAAAGAATTTAATGTATATCCAATCAGGACACAAAAATGGGGGAAACATCATGGGCACAATTCAAGCAGATCTACACCCTGGATAAAAGTGGCCGATACATCAAATCACTGCTCCATTATTTGGCTTAATCTGTCACCTCGAGGTTCTGCTTCTTTAAAGAACTTATTTTCTTTCCCCTGAAATTGTGGGAATAATCAGGAAGTGGCCCTTTAAAATATAAACATTTCTTGAGAATTAGTTGTGGGTAAGCTTTCTTCTACGACTTGAAACCCAGTCCCACTGATAAATTTTAAAATGAGAACATAGGGAAAGCAATTTATCAATAAAACAGTGCTGCCCTACCCATATATTAAAAATAAATCAAGCAGATATTACTAGAAAGGAAAAGAAAGGACACAAAGGAATATAATCTATCAGTAGATTAAAATGAATATGTGTAAAATGGCATGGGAATTCACTGGAATGACTTTTTCCCTAATGACCAAATTTAGGGTAAATACAACAGCTACCATTTCTTGAGTACCTACTCTATGCCAGGCAAGTGGAAGCACTTTTTATATATTGTTTGTGTTATGTTATATTTTATATATTTATTTATCACAACGCTTCAAAGTTAATATTATTGTTCCTATTTTAGGAACAGTATTTTTCCCCCTTCCTTAGGGAGGAAACTAAGGTTCACAGAGCTTAAAAAACTTGCCTAAGCAAGGATGTATCATAGCCATTATAACTCACTACCTACAGCAGTAAAACCAAACCATGGGATTCTCCATTTCTTCAACATTTACAAGCTTAGACACACATATCTCAGTTATGTCTCATCTCAACCTTCTTAATTAGGCCCAACTTCAAAGGACTGACTTGTAGGCCTATAGCTGAGAAGTAGAGAAAGACATAAGAATTGCTGGGGATAACACATAAAGTGAATAACCCACATCAAGGTATACCACTGTTGACTACAGAGTTTAGAATTTATTAATATTCCTGGTTCCAATTATCTCTCCTACTACACCAAAGCTGCTTTTGTACTGCATGACAAGATAAATGCAATCAAGGTGTGGTTTATATATATAATGTAATATATTATGATCTTCCTTCTACTCAAGAGTGCTTTAGAAAATACAGCCAAGTCTTTTCTTCTTTTCCCTCTTCACCTCCCCCAACCGTCCCTCTCTGCCCCATCCCACAGGAAAGAGCCCAGGACATCTGGGCCTGGGTAACCCTGGGAACCAAAAGGCTTGGTTTGTCTAGAAGAAATTGGCTGAGTTTGTAGCCTAAAAAGAAATGAATCTAGAGGAGTTTCAGTTAAGCATTCAAAGTTCCCACACTTTAATCTACCGCAACTGAGTTTTAATTTCTCATCCATTGTTCTACCTACCTTGAAATCGTCTGTAAATACATTCCAAATCTGGCTGTTGGGTGAAATCCTTGACTATGCACACAAAAGGCTGATGGGAACAGCAGTTCCTCCATACCCAGGATGCTCATTGCCACCTGCTGGAGCAAGGAAGGATTTTTCATGGGCAGAGGCTATCCCTTGAGCTTCTGTGAGCTCTGGTCTCCACAACATAGAGGTACCTGAAAAGTACACTGGGGCAGCTGGAACATATGTGAGCCTGGTTTCCATCGCACTTACATCCTTGCATTTTGAGCTTTTGCATAGCAAATAGAACCATTAATAAAATAAAAAGGCAACCTACTGAATGGGAGATATTTGCAAATGATATTTCCAATACAGGGTTAATATCCAAAATATAGAGAGAATTTACACAACTCAACACCCTCCCCAAAAGAAACCCAATCCAAACCCATTTAAAAATAGACAGAGGACCTAAATACACATTTTTTTTCCCAAAGAAGACATACAGATAGCCAACAAACACATGAAAGGATGTTCAACATCACTAATCACCAGGGAAATGCAAATCAAAACCACAATGAGATATCACCTCACACCTGTTAAAATGGCTAAAGTCATAAAGACAAGAAGTAACAAGTGTCTGCAAGGATGTAGAGGAAAAGGAACGCTTGTGCACTGCTGGTGGAAACGTAAACTGGTACAGTCACTGTGGAGAACAGTATGGAGGTTCCTCAAAAATTAAAAATGGAAATACCAGATGACCCAGTAATTCCACCATGGGGTATCTACCCAAAGGAAAAAAAAAAACACTTATTTGAAAAGATGTGTACCTTATGTATACTGTAGTATTATTTATTTATGTACAATAGCCAATTATTTATTTATTTACAATTATTTATTATTTACAATAGCCAAGAGATGGAAGCAACCTAAGTATCTATCCATAGGTGAATGACCAAAGAAGATGTGATCGATATACATATACATACATATATATGTATACATATATGTGTAATATATATGTATAATGTAGTATATAGACACATATATAATGTGATACATAGAGACATGTATAAGGAATATTACACAGCCATAAAAACGGATGTTGGTTTGTTTGTTTTTGTTTTTGTTTTTTACCATTTATGGATGGACTTAGAGGGTATTATGCTAAGTGAAAGCAGTCAGACTGAGAAAGACAAAATACCACCTGATTTCACTCATAGGTGGAACTTAAAAAACAGAAATAAAACATGAATAAACAAACAAAAGGCTGAATCAGACCTAAAAACACAGAGAACGAACTGATGGTTGACAGAGGGAAGGGGTAGGTTGGGTAAAATGGGTGAAGGTTTCCAGCTGTGGAATGAGTAAGTCCAGGAGTAAGAGGCACAGCAAAGGGAATACAGTCAAGGATATTAGGATAGTGTTCCGTGGTGACAGAGAGTGACTGCACCTGTGGTGAACAGAGCATTAGGTGCAGAGAAATTGAATCACTATGCTGTACACCTGAAACTAATGCAACACTGTGTGTCAACTACCCTCAAATTTAAAGATTTTTTAATTAAAAAATAAATTACATAGTGAATATTATCTTGTATCATTAAAATAATCTAATAATTTTTTTTTTGCATTTTGAACCACACTGCTTTGCAATGACCTGCTTTGTTCAACAATACATCAAGAGCATTTTTTTCTTGTTTTTCTAGGTATATGGTCATGACAGCTTTTAAATGTGGCCCCAATAAAGTCTAAACACGATATTACAACAACAAAGTCAGCAGAGCGAGAGGTGATCCATCTCTGAGTGCCCAAGTTTGCATCTCAATGTAAGAGTCAAGATTTATTAGGACTTGGGAGGCCAACGATTAATAGAACGAATCACCTTATTTCCCCTAAAGGTTTGACCCAGTGTGTGATTTGTGCCTGCTAAGCTGATATAATGATGAACAATCCCTTTTATGAATGTAGCTAAAAATGGAACCTGTGTCAAGACCTTACATAACCTGAAATGACACATGGCAACTGAAGGCCACATCTCCCATGAGCTCTTGGAGCCAAAGTTAAGTTGGCATCTAATGAAAAATGTAAATCTGGGAGCATTTACCCTGGTAACGGCACTGCACCTTCATCTGAGTTAGAACTTCAAGGCTTCACAGCATAAGAAAAATACACACACACCCTGAAGTCAGGTTATATTAGATAAACATTTTTCATATGGATCTTTCTAATTTATTCTTCACTGCCAACTGCTAAGTGTTATCATTACCATTATTAGGAATAATAATAGCAATTAATTTGTAAGATATCTATCATTCTGAAGACTCGCATTTTATATATTAAATGATGTTACTTATAGAAAAAATTTAAACAAATGTTACTTGCAGGATACAATATTGTTTTAGATTTTCTCAGACTGAGGTTACACAAAGAAAAGTGAGGAGAAATTATCTGTGTATCATAAAAAGTCATAGGCTTGCACATAAGTCTGGGTGAAAATATCACAGGGTTAAGTGACTTCCTTAAGGTCACACAGTTTAGGAGCAACTAAAAATAAATCCGGTTTCCCCATCTAAGTCCCAGTCTTGAGAACACAGAGAGAATAAGACAAATAATGAAGTGAAAAATAAAATGTTAGCTAAAGATATGCCTCAAAGAAAATCTGGTTCTAAGCACAAGGATGGGAATAAGCATGGGGTAGACAAGGAATGGAAGCGTCAGGAGACTTGGCACAGGATGAGTAAGGTAGAGACTTATTTAAGATGATGCCAGCAAGCTCAGCGGGGGTAGACCACACCGTTCTTATGAGGAATTTAAATTTTATTCTAAGAATCATGGGAAGACCTGAACAGGTTCTGAACAGGAGAATGATGTGAAATAATTCATAGCTTATAAATCTCACTCTGCTGCTAGACTGAAAAGGGTGATAAAGGTTGGGGAACAGGGGCCAGAAGACCAGGTGAGGGTCCGCTACTCTGCTGTAAGACATGACCGTAGTTCACTCCCTGCTGCAGAGGGGAAATCTAATTGTTCTGGAGTAAGACCTAAACACATTTTCAAAGCTGGCCAGGTAACTCTAGTGTCTATTCAGGGTAGAAAATCACAAGTAGAGTGTAAGAGCAGTGAAAATGGAGAGTAATAGACAGATTTGGGTTGTTTTCAGGGTAGAGTCAAGAGGACTTGAAGGTGGTCTAGATGTAGACAGGGACAGAGAGAGAGGAGACAAGAGGTACTTCTAGGCTTTGAACCTGAGAAACTGTATTGGTGATTCCATTGCATTAAATACTAAAGTCTAAGAGAATAACAAACTTGGGCAGGATCGAAAGCATGGATTCTATCCCAAATATATTACATCTGAGATGTCCAGGTGAGGATGTCCAATAGTCAGTTGGATATTCAACTGAGGAGATCAGGAAAGAGGTCAGAAGTAGATACGTATGTGAGTGTGTGTACATGTGAGTGTGTGCATGTACGCTCATACCTGTGTGTGCATGTGATCAATACAAAGATGATGTTTAAAGCATTGAGGACTGGGTGACATACTTAGAGAAGGGTGTGTTGAGAAGAGAGGAGAACCCAAGACTGAATCCTGAGACCCTCCTCTGCAGGTTTCTAAATTTTGCAGTAATAGTCTGAGAGGTGGTAGGAAAGCCAGCACGCACAGGGTCTCCAAGAGGAAAAAAAAAAAAAAAAATCTTTCAAGAAAGTAGGAGTGTCAAATGTGGCTGAGACACCAAGTAAGAGGGAGACAAAGAAATGGCAGCTGATTCCACAATATTAAAATTATTACAGACAATAGCAGTTTGTGGAGAGCAGTAAGGCAGGGGACTCACGGAGAAGAGAGAGATGTTAGCCCTGATCATGACCATAAAGAAGATTTCTGGGAAAGAACACAGCGACACACAGTCAGTAGCAGCATGGGAGCAGGAACTCCCTTGATCAAGCTGCTGAGGCAGGAAAAGACAAGGGAGGAAGCATAGGGATGGGTTCTGGTTGTTTAGCCGGTAACTCACCTGCCGCTCAATTCACTTTTCTGAGTCACGAAAGCGGTGAAGTCGCAAGTTGATGGAGAGGCAGAGTGGGAGGTGAGGTGAGGAGTAGTTTTGGAGAATGGTGTTGCGAATACACTGGGGATGCGTTGTAGGAATGCTGACCTCGTGCCCATTGGAGGTCCAAGGTAGGGAATTTTTAATAAGAATTGTCACCACAGGTGTGTTTTTTCTCTCTAACAATGTTCAGCTGTTTGGGTTGAGGGCAAAGTGTGTTGGTAATTGAGTTTAATGAGGGTTTGAGTTTGCCAAATAAATATAACGAAGTGAGAGACGGGCAAGGAAAAGTGTTTGCAAGGGATCAAAAATGGACCCAGGTAAGGAGGAAAGTGAGCACAGCACCAGGGTGTGGAGGGATAATGGACGGGGTCATGACAGGTCTTGCTTGATCGGTAACTTGGAAGGCAGAGCCAAAGATTTTTCAAAAATATATCTTAAAGCAGTAAAGAAATAGAAAGT